TTCATTCATGGAATAGAAAAATAACTCTGAAGTCTCAGTCAAGAGATATGGGTTCTGGGAGCACCCACCTTGACTACTTAAACCAGTCATTTATCCTCCTAAATTCACCCTCTGGAAGATAAGATTACATCAGACAAGCTTTGAGCTCCCTGCTAATCTAATAATCAATAGGTTCATGATGTACTTCCCCTCCTTCCCTCCAAGAAACAAAAGGGCGTATCACTGGAAATCACCCTTTAATATAATTCACCTGAATCCAGAAAGCGACCTCCCCCCCCCCTTTTTCCAGAATCCTAGGTGTAAAGAGCACTTACTTGTAATATGGGTCACTGGAATACACAGTCCTTCTTTTAGGGTTCAGCTTTGAAGATGGAGAACGCAGAGAAACTGAAGCCTAGGCATTCTCTAGCTGATTTGCAAATCCCAGTGCCAGTAAGTCACAGGGCAGAGCAGAGCACTAGAAATTCACTGAGGACCCCACATCCTTTAGCTGACTGTGGCAACTACTTTGAACGCCCTCTCACTCTGTCTTTGTGTATGTAAGTATATGTACATCTTTGGTACCGGTACACACAATGATCAGTTCATTTTATTTTTCTTGCTTCCTCATTACTGCTAATGAGCAACAAAATAAAATAATTAAAAAGATAAAGGGCCAAGAAGGAAGGGCAAAAGTCAAAAGCTGTCTTCCTGCCTAATTGGATCATCAGGTTTAAGAAAGAGTTGCCAATCTTCATGTGTCTCATGTGAAGTCAATCTGAGTTCAACTAAGGGGCTGCAAGGCAAAACTCCCTAAAGCCAGAGTAGTCCAAGAGAGGTCCCAATCATCTAAAAGAACCAGACCTAACCCAATTGCAAATACATAGGCAAATGGAGATATCCCCAGCTTTTCTAAGTTCTCTTCTTTAGAAAAAGAGCACAAAGATTGACCAGATTGACTGGAATCACTAGTTAAGAGACAGCTCAACAAAGAAGTTTCAATGTCAAGAAAGGTTACTTGAACATTTTTGATAAGTTAGTTGACTACAGCCTCACATTTATTTGGAAAGTATTAGCTGTTAATGTAACAGATATACCAGCACATCTGCTATGACATGGGGGAAAAGGAGGGAGGAAGGAAAGCAGGGTTGGGGGAAGAAACAGTGGTTTCTATATAGGGTAGTATGGGTGCTATGAGCTGAATTGTGTCCCCCCAAAATTTGTACGTTGGAGCCCTAACTCTTAGTACTTCAGAATGTGACTGTACAGTATTTGCAGATAGGGCCTTCAAAGAGGTGATGAGGTTCAAAGGAGGCCATCAGAGTGGGCTCTATGCAATCAGATGTGTGTCCTTAGAAGAGGAAATTTGGCTAAACAAGAGACACTAGGGATGTGTGTGTAGAGAAAGGACCATGAGAAGAGGCAGCATGAAGGTGGCCATCTGCAAGCCAGAGAGGCCTCAGAAGAAACTAACCTTGCTGGCACTTTGATCTTGGGAATAGTAACAGTACCTTGCCTCATAAGTTTATTGCAATGATTAAATAAATTAAGCCATGTAAAGCACTTAGAACAGTGGCACATAGCAAGCACTCAAGAATCAGCAGCTGATAGTGCTGCTACTGTTACTTTTTATTTTTTTAAAGATGGGGTCTCACTCTGTTGCCTAGGCTGGAGTGCAGTGACATGATCATAAATCACTACAGCCTTGAACTCCTAGGTTCAAGCGACCCTCCCACCTCAGGAGGGAGGGAGGAAGTCTCAAGCAGCCTGGACTACAGGCTTGCACCACCATGTCCAGTTAATTTCTATTTACTGATTTATTTATTTATTTGGAGGCGGAGTCTCGTTCTGTCGCCACGCTGGAGCGCGATCTCGGCTCACTGCAATCTCCACCTCCTGGGTTCAAGCAATTCTCCTGCCTCCACCTCCCAAGTAGTTGGGATTATAGGTGCACGCTGCCACGCCCAGCTAATTTTTGTATTTTTAGTACACACGGGGTTTCACCACGCTGCCCTCGATCTCCTGACCTCGTGATCTGCCTGCCTCAGCCTCCCAAAGTGCTGGGATTACAGGCATGAGCCACCAGGCTCAGCCGATTCTTTTTTTTTTTTTTTTTTAAGAGATAAGTTCTCACTGTGTTGCTCAGGTTGGTCTCAAACTCCTGGCCTCAAGTGATCCTCCCACCTCAGCCTCCTGAGTAGCTGGGGCCACAGGTGTGAGCCACTGCACCCAGCAACTGCTACTGTTATTGATAAAGGGACTAAGGTTACTTCAGCAGACCTAGGGAGATATGTACTTTTGTGTAACAATACTGACTGAAAACTTCACCACCAGCTTTCTAACTGATTTCAGTACGTAATGGAGCATTTTGGGGCCCTCATTCTCATGCTTCTACAGTGAGAATCAAAATTTCTGTTTACATTCAATGGCTTTGCAAGAAGGTTATTTGGTTTTCACTGGGGGAAAGGTCCTACTAGAAAGAGAGCTGAAGGTGGCCTGTCTAGAGGAACTATATCTATCCACCTCAGCAGGTGCTGTTTGGCCAGAATTGTGGGCTGGAAACACTCCAATTCAGGATCATTAACTCTATTAGCCTAGGGGGAGATATTCTGATGCACCTTCCTTTTCTGGGATCTGACAGAGCTGCTGAAATTTGAGAAAGCAGCTCTCTATCTGCCTGACCTCTCAGTCTCCTGAGAAAACAGGTACAAGGGGGAGCAGAAAGATAGTAAGATAGCATTGGATCTATTTTTCTGCCCTAGCAGGTTACCTCCACAGGCAGGAAGTAACTTCTGCTCCAACCCTGTTCCACTTCCCTGAGGTAGGAAGGACTTAAGCTGTGGTATGGGAAATTCGCTGTTTTTTGTTAACTGTTAAGTTTTTCAATTTGGTTTATTTTTACCATTCTTTGAAATTATCCCCTCTACCTCTGAGACCAAGGCAGGAGTTCTGATTCTACAGTTCACCAGGTGAAGTCAGGCAAGTCACAGACCATGGGAGATGTAGAAGGCAGGGCAACAGTGCCTGTGTCAGTGGCCTGTGCCTACTGATCCCAGCTCACAGGGGAATGTTGAACCAAGTGCACCCTATTAAGACAGAGGCTGTGCCCCCTGCACTCCCCAACACAGACGTTACCCTCCATCAAAAGCTCAAATGCTTTATCTGTAAGATGCTTTGGGGTCCTTGGCAGAAAAGATCTAGTCCATATAAGCTACCTTGGGAGTCCTGCTAAAATGTAAATTCTGATGCAGGTGTCTGCAGGTGGCCCCTGAAATTCTGCATGTCTAACAAGCAACACCCATGTGATGCTGATCCTAGGACCATACTTTGAGTTACACACTTGGAGTAACTGTGAGTTATGAACACCCGGGACAGTGATTCTTCAAGAGTGGCCTAAGGAACCCCTGCATCGGCATCACTTGGGGACTTGTTACAAACATTCAGTCCCTGCCATTACTTGCAGACTCTCTCAATCAGACCTTCTGGGGATGGGGCCTGACAAGCCTCATGTTTGACAAGCCCTTCAGTTGACTGCTATGAATGTTACATTTCAGAATCATTGCATGAAATCAGGGGTTCTCAACTCCCACTCCATGCTAGAATCACCTGGGGAACTTTTTAAAACACAATGCTCAGGCTTCATCACAGATCATGAACTCATCCTCTCCAAGGGCGGGGCAGGGCATCAGTGTTTGTTTTTAATTTTATTTCTAACTGACGAATAATTGTGGGTACTTATAAAGTACATACAGTATGATGTTTTGATATATGTGTGCATTGTGAAATGATTAAATCAAGCTAATTAGGTGAGCCTGGAACATTAATTAGGGTTCAAAATTGCTGCTTTAGATGAATGCTTTCTCTGTTAACTTCTACTGATATATGACATGCATCTTGAAAATTGTAACTATCATAAAGGTATACATGAATATTTGTGGGGAGGAAATGACAGGAATATTTGTGGAGAGGGAGCAAAGCATAGCTGTGGTTTTAGGATCAAGAGGCTTAGGCTCCAATCCTAACTGCCACTTGGAATTTTACTCCCTGAGAAAAATTTTCTTCCTCTGTAAAACAAGAGGCCATAATTCTTGCCCTGTCTACCTCAAACACTGTTACGCGAAAAGCCTTGTACACTGTAAAATGCTATCCAAAACTGAGGATTATCAATTAAAGATTTAAACTATGATCTTAATGTTTAAGGCAAATTTAAGTCAGAAAGCAGTAGTCATAATTTTACAAGTGATTTCTTTTTCTGAGCTTCTCAATGTGACCTGCTAATCCCTCCACAGTCCCACATTTGGGATTCTGAGGACACAGCTCTGCCAGCCCAGCATTGTAGCTCCTGCTTCTTTCTGGGCTGGTTTATCACCCAGCCTGCTGCTGCGACCATGGGATTCTCCCTGCTAGCCACTAGGGGCTGTTTGGTCCAGACTGGCCCATGGGTTTGGGTGAATGGGGAAGGAATCTAATTCTTGCCCTAGGAAGTCCTTGGAGAACTAGACAGGCTATGAGGCTCCCACAGCAAATTACTCAAGGCCAGTGTGGCTGAATCTTAGGACACCTGAAAGCTCCTTTCTTTCCATTAAACCTCTCAAAGAGTTTGTATAGGTTTCTTTGGTCTGCCCTGGTTATTTTACTTTTTTATTTTTTTGAGACCAAATCTCATTCGGTCGCCCAGGCTGGAGTGCAGTGGCACAGCGTTGACTCACTGCAACCTCTGCCTCCCGGGTTCAAGTGATTCTTCTGCCTTAGCCTCCCGAGTAGCTGGGATTGCAGGCAAACACCACCATGCCTGGCTAATTTTTGTATTTTTAGTAGAGATGGGGCTTCACCATGTTGGCCAGACTGGTCTCAAACTCCTGACCCCCAGTGATCCGCCCGTCTCGGCCACCCAAAGTGCTGGATTACAGGCGTGAGCCACCGCGCCCAGCCAGCTATATGTATATTTTTAAAATCACATGGGCATATGGACAAGTACTGCTTTGGATGTTGCTGGTACATTTCCAGAAGGGGCTACTTACCAGCCGAGTGTTTACCACAGGAAAGAGCAATGCCAGAAGAGCTCCATTCAACATGTGCATCTGTAGCCTAGTGGGAGAGAAAGATAAAGTTCAGGTCATACTCAGTCCCTGATACAAAGGGAGAAAAAAGACATGTCACGTTAAGCCACGCCATATGGAAGAGAACTATGTATACAAGTTGTTCTCTGTGGAAAATGGCACTAGAGTTTGCACAAAATAAATTAAAAGTGGCATATTTTGTATTAACTGAAATGTTCTGAAGAGCACCATCACTGGTTCAGAATACCCTGAACACCTCCTGAACATGCTTTGGTTACAACAATTTATTACATAATGAGCTCTGTGCTCCCTAAACATTCAGTCAGTCCCAATCAACAGCTTCAACTGCTACAGCTTGGGCAGCATTAGAAAAGGGGAACTACGGGAGGTAAGTGTTCTGTTATTACAGTAGAAACCTATTTATTATAACATGGCTGCTTATTTACACTGTCATGTATAATCCTTTTCCCCAAACAGAGACCTAGACAGAAAAATATTGCTACAACCCAGGAAGCCAACTGCAGTGTTTTGCAAACTATATTTCCCCACTTTCTTAGAAATGCCCTCAGGAGCAAAAGTGAGCAGCCTTCCAGGCTTTCATTTACATATTGGGCTCTGTGACTTAAAAGCAAAACAAAAAAAGAAAAAATAAGAAGAAAACCACTGGTCTCCAGCACTGGTTAATGATACTGTTTCCCAATCCCAATGCCAGACTTGTTAAAGTGCATGCATATTAGAAACCCTTCATAAGTCAAGCACAATTAACTCAGGAACAAACCCTGCTTGTGAGGGCTCTGGGGATGGATTTAAGTAGCTTCCTTCATTATTAAAGGAAAATGGTTCTTTACTACTAAGAGAGATGAAAAGAATGACAGTCTGTTCCTCTTGAAGAAACATTGATTTGATGGGTTATGGACAACCACCACAGAGGCAACATGCCTCTTAGACCTCAACACTAGCTGCAGGTCAATATCAATCTCTTTCTCTTTCTCTCTCTCTCTCTCAGTCCACATGTTGAAGACTCCCTAGAACTTCAGCTCTTCTCTTGGCACTCACAGATGTGTTTGTAAGACTAAGAGATGTGGCTGGGTGCAGTGGCTCATGCCTATAATCCCAGCACTTTGGGAGGCAGAGGCTGGCGGATCAGCTGAGGTCGGGAGTTCAAGACCACCCTAGCCAATATGGCAAAACCCCATCTCTACTAAAAATATAAAAATTAGCCAGGCATGGTGGCAGGTGCCTGTAATCCTGGCTACTCGGGAGGCTGAGGCACAAGAATTGCTTTAACTCAGGAGGTGGAGGTTGCAGTGAAACAAGATCATGCCACTGCACTACAGCCTGGGTGAGAGAGCAAGACGAGGGGAGGGGAGGGGAGGGGAGGAAAGAAGGGAAGAAGGGAAGGGAGAAAGACTAAAAGATGTTACAAGAAGACCCCGGAGAATGGCACAGAAACCCCAAGACTGCTTTTCACTTCCCCTAGTCTGTTTCTTCCTATTGTTCTTTGTCACCAAAACTTTGTGAATAGTGATGGTATGCACTTAATATATTCCAGCCATCCTTAATCAAGAACCAGAAGAAAAATAATAATATTCCAGGCAAGTATCTGATTAACTGCTTTACATGAACTTTCTTGCTTAATTTTTATACCAAGCTTCTGAGATAGGTACAATTACTTTTCCCATTTTGTTGATAAGGAAACGCGTTTCAGAGAAGTGAGGTGATCTGGTCAACATTACACATAAGAGAGTAGAGTCAGAGTTCAAAACCAGGTTTATCTGACTGCAGACCCCAAACTCTTACATCTCTCTTGCTGCCTCGTATAGAAGCCACTGGTCCCTTCCTCCTGCCAAAGTATGACCTCAGGTGGAGGGTGAGAATGTTCCTCTTTCCTTCCTTTTAGTTTCAAGGGTCTCTCCACCTCCTTCTTCATTCCCTGCCCCTGGCTTAATAAGATTTCAAAGGATAACTAAAGTGGAAAAGGCTGTTTGGCTACCCAAGGCCATCACACTCCCTCAGATTAATAAGGCTTGACCTGGTCCATAAAAGGGAAGAGGCACACCAATGCAATGACACTCCAGCCTCCCTGGGGCTGGCCAGGTTACCACAACCCTTTTTCAGCAGTGTCATTCAAGGTGGCACCCCGTGTCTGACAAACCTGACAAACGGAGTACTAAAAATTCTGGCTCAAGCCTTAGTATCTACAGCAGGAGCTATTAACAGCCATTCCAGGCCTTCAGTGAAGTAGAATCTGGCTTAATCCCGCCCCTGGGCCCTCCTATGTGACAGCCACAACATAAAAACTCACCCTGGGAGAGCAAAAAAAAAAAATCACATCAACAGTCCAGATGAAAGTTGGATTCTGGGCTGGGTGTGGTGACTCACACCTGTAATCCCAGCACTTTGGGAGGCCGAGGCAGGATCACTTGAGGTAGGGAGTTCAAGACCAGCCTGGCCAACATGGCGAAACCCCGTCTCTACTAAAAATACAAAAATTAGCTGGGCAAGGTGGCAGGTGCCTGTAGTCCCAGCTACTCAGGAGGCTGAGGCAGGAGAATCACTTGAACCTGGGAGGCAGAGGTTGCAGTGAGCCGAGATCATGCCATTGCACTCCGGCCTGGGTGACAAAGCGAGACTGCATCTCAAACAAACAAACAAAAAAGCTGGATTCTGGTGCCAGGCTTTGCTATGGACCTCAAACGAAATGTTAGCATTTGCACAGGGTCAATTAGACATTTGGGCACCAAAAGTTAAATCTTGGGGTTGATGGAACTGATAAGGGCCTATGGATGGCCAAAGATGAAGATAAAACTAACATAAAGATCCAAAACAGTTAAGTCCCTAGATAAAGACAAGCATTGCTCTGGGCTCTCAAAATTCAGTTTATGCGAGGTATATATATGCCAGAGGGTGAATTATCTTTAATATATAAAGAAGCCTTACATATTAATAATCACAAACATTTCTAACATTTATTGAACATTTCTATGTGCAAATCATTGGGCTAAGGATTCAAATACATCATCTCATTCAGTCATTAGAGTTTTTATTATAGCCACCATCATCTTCTTCATTTCATATCGGAGAAAACCAAAGCTCCAAGTGATTAAGTGATCTGCCCAAGATCAAACACATAATAAGTGACAGAGGCTGAAGTCAAGCTCAGATGTCACCAAGTTTCAAGCTTGTGTTTTTGCCACTGTACTCTGCTTTAAACCTATGGCATGAATGTTACATATGTTCTGTGTGTGTGTATGTGTGTCTGTGTTTCTATGTGTGTATGTATCAGACTGCAGGCCAGGAAGGAAAAAGTTCTTCAATGCCATTGGGACAAGGAAGGTCATGCCTAAACCCCTTGTGTGTTCTGTGGCAACTATCCTGATCACACAACTACATTGTCCTTTACAGACAAAGCACAGCTCTACAGGTAAATGACTGACCAACTTAGAAGCAGAGGCTTTTGTTTTAACTTTATACCCACCCGCAGCCTGCCACAAAAATTTGTATTGGGTATGGCAAAAGGCTATAGGGCCACTAGAAACTCCTGTGAGGGAGTTCCCTCATCTGTACAATAGGAACCATAATAGTACCCAACTCATAGGATTGTTATAGGGAATTATATTTATAAAATGCATTAAAATGTGCGTGGCATATAGTAAGACTCACATAAAATGTTTGTTAAATAAATGGTGAAGAACTCACCTAAAGCCTCAAGATGGATGGATGGATGGATGGATGGATGGATGGAAGGAAGGAAGGAAGGAAGGAAGGAAGGAAGGAAGGAAGGAAGGAAGGAAG